ACACACACACACACACACACACACACACACACACACACACACACACACAGAAAACACTCCCTTTGGATTTCCTTTCAGCTAATGACCACGCTGGAAGCTCAGCTGCAGATCTTGAAGCCATCATAACAAAGAGCCCAGAATGGTGTAAGATGTCAGCTAATGATTAATTAATCTCGACTGATTGACTCATCAAAGAGTGGCATCAGCTCCACCTTGTCGCCTCACCAGATTTCGTCCTCTTCTTTCACTTCGCTGTCACTCAGGTCTCTTTAGCTCACCTGAAACCTCACAGGAGGAAACCGAAGTCTTTCCTTCTCCACTTTGTCCCCAGTTTGTCCAACGATTTCTCCTCTGACGCCGCTCCTTCTTTAAGACTCGATAGACGTCCACAGTGCTTTTCAGCCCAGATTTAAATTTAACAGCTCGAGGAGATGAAAAACTCGTCTCCTGTTTCAGTGAACAAATTTCAGGGATTATCCTACTCCTTTTCTCGCCATCGTGTCACGACATATCAGGTTGTTCCAATCAGACACTAGACCCACTGCTTGAGTGTGAACTGAGCCACTCGCACGATAACTACGGTAAAAACTCTCTGTGTTTTTATTTTAAGGCTCCAGAGGCAGACGATGCACGGAGGTGAGCTGCGGCTCATTGTTGTGTCCGTTGAGGAGCGTCTTCAAAGTTTCATGAAGAGAAAGAGGCGAGGAGATGGGCAGAAAGTTGCTGCATCTTTTAAACCATAAATGCAGCAGAACGGGTGAGTAAGAAACTTTTCTCTGATTTATGCACATTTAGTTGGAAAACTGTTTTCCACCCGTGTTTGTTAGCTGCTGATGGTTCCTTTGGAAACTGTAGTTTGTGTTTTAAAAAGTGCTCTGGAGTCAGAACCAACTAAATCTACTCAGGGACCAGAATCTTTCATGTTTTAATGCAAGAACCACAAACAACTTATTATTAATAACAGTAATAATTGTAATGGTAATGCATGCAAAGCTTTCAAGCTTCTGTTTTTTTTAACCAAACATCAGACACGGCATTTGTTTTTAATTTAGCATAAGTGGTGCATTTTATTAAAAAGGCAGCAAAATAGTTTGTTTTTTAAAAGCCACATTTTCTGTCAGTTTCCTGTGCTCATGTTTATTTTTGTGTCGTCACACGTGGCGTTCAGAACGCTCTTTTATTTTCACGTAACTGAAATATTTTCTTCTTTCATATAAAAGTTGTTTGTGTTTTTATTTGTTGTTTGTTTTTTTGTTATTCTTGTTTTTTTTTTGTACAGGGATGATAAATGAGAAAGTATGAAAATAATATTAATCCATTCATGTATTAGAGATTAGAAAACAAATAAAAAGTTGTTGACGTATAAAGTTTGTTTGACATCAATAATGCACAAATTTAAGCACCAGAAGTAGCAAAATATTATTAAAATATTAGTAATACACAAAATAACATGTTTATTTTTGTTATAAATCATAAAAAAACCTCCAGGGTGAAGATCTTTATCTTTAACTTTATCTTAAAGTTTAAACAAACATTTTATGCCGTCTGTCAGCACTCAGAGTATGTGATGGGGAGGACTCTCAGCTGCTACCACACTCACATTTAGCTCCATATCTGTGAAACTGACAGGCTTACGGCCATTTGTGTCTTTTCTAAGCTCATCAGCTGTAGCAGCCATATCTCGAATACAGTCGATACCAAAAGTTAACCAGTTGAAGGATTTTTTATTTTAAACTTCAGTAAAATTCATCAAAATATTTTGCTAAATTGCTTCTTTTTTTGTACATTTTTTATCATTATTATTGAGGTTTTTTTTTTTCTTTTACAATTTGGGACTTTTGATTTTCTCAGTTTTCTAAGTTGTATCTGAGGAGTAATATTTTATTTGACAGATAAAAAGCTGCGTCTGTTTACATGTGACTGTAAGTTGATGCTCAGTCGTTAATATATTTCATGATCTCTTTACGTTGCGTGACTTTGTTTTATTTGTTTCTACTTGTTTAAAGACGTTTTTACAGACAGTCGGCTAATTCGAAGCTTTTTGTGCCTGTTAGCGACACACACTGAAGGAACGTCTCGGAGAAACCGTTTGTAAACCGAGCCGAGGTGAGTGGGTCGTCTCAGCTGAGTGTAAAGCTCACAGTTCAGGATTATCCAGATCACTGGATCAGAATACTGTTACCCGGCACCGTTACCTCCCACTGTTTACCTCGGATGTCCCTCCTTAAAGCCACCAGCACCACAAACTAGCTTCACCTCACATTAATAACTTACTGAGGAGGTCTCTTCTAGATTTAGTTTTCTGAGCCATGAGACTGTGGGCGGTGGCACTGAGAACTGAACCAGCGATGTATTAAGTATGCAGCTGTATCAAATGCTAATTATACATCAATATATTTATTAAAGTCCTAACATTACTTGAAGGAATGCATATCTCTCACTGCCTTTCATGCCAGAATTTTAGACCAAATTCATCTCACGTTGAGAAATGAAGATAATTACCATTTTATTCAAATCTTGAAAATACCATTATGCACCATAGATGAATTATTGTACACCATTTAGCCTGTTAGTGCTTGGAGGATGCATTGTAAATGATTCTCAGCTACTACCACACCAGATTCTACTAGCTCATTGTCAGTAAAACTGTCCGAGGTACAGACGTTTCAAAACTGAACTTTTGTGTGAAGTTCAGTTAGCTGTGGTAGCCATCTTGAATTAGGTTTACCTAATAATTAATCAGTTGCACCATATTTTTCGGACTATTAAATACTTCAATTTTCTCAAAAATCAACAATGAGCCTTATAATCAGGTGAGCCTTCTGGTTGTGCTTACTGACCTCGAACCGATTTTATGTGTTTATTGTAAATGAGTTGAATAAAGTTTAACTTATCTGACTGTTTTGTTTCGCTTAATGCGCCTTATAGTCCAAAAAACACGGTGGCTGGTCATAAAGTGATTATCTTCTGAAAACCAATGGTTTATGTCTGAGATATTTTGCTAACAAACAGAGTTTATTAAAACAGGTAATAACAAAGTTTTAAGTACAGATCTTGACCAATCGGTTAGCCCTTAGAATACAGGTTGTGAAGGACTCTCAGTTACTACCACGCCAAATTTTAACTCAGTATCAGTAAAACTGTCCGAGGTATAGTCATTTCTTAGTTTTCTAAGGTTGATTAGTCGTGACAGCCATATTGAACTGCGTTCAAAAGTGAATCATCTGTCGATGCACAACCAGTTTCTTTCAAATCTATCCTCTGGTTGGGGATATTTTGCTAACAGCTTTAGAATTCATCAGGAATAGCTGCAGGTTTTCTCTCAGCTCTTCTCGTCAGGTCATTCTTGTCGTCGCAGTCGTCATGTGGACAGCCAGAGCACTCATCTGATGAGAGGAGTGGAAACGGAAACACAAGTCTGCACCCTCTCCTACATCGTGCACTTTGTTCTGTTTGATCGGGTTTCATTGTTCAACAAGCATTAAAAAAGAACCATGTAAATGAATCCTGCAGAACAGAACCGCGTCATGCACTTGTGTGCTTTTTCTTGGTGCTCACATCTTCTTCCAGCAGCTGGTGTCTCTTCACGTGTTCTCCTTCAGGATGGGTGTAACGGGGGACAGTCCAGAGACAACTACTGATCAATACGAGCAGCAGGGAGAAGAAGAAGGGAGTCAGACAGAAGCCCGAGCTCCCGTCCTGCTGCCAACCATCAACAAGAAGAAGAAGAAAAACAGGAGGAGGTATTTTACTTTTGACGCTCTTTCCTTTCCATTATCAGTTATTTGTCACTGCTGGACGTGAACTGCTGGGACGCCACTTTGTAGGGATGTGCAGCAAAGCAGGCGTCTGTCCTCCTCTTTGTCTCTCTTGTCTTTCAGATGACTGACGATCAACCTCACCAACTGCAAATATGAAAGTGGTACGTCTGAACCCCCCACTTGTTCAATGCAAATGTTTCCAACCCCAAACCATCCAGTCTGAACCCAAAGTAGTTCATCTTTTGTCTTGTCCTCTCCATTTAATTTGTTATTATACTTTCAGGCCTCCAAGACATTTAAAATGAGTTTTAAACGTTTGTAGTTTTACCGTTTTGATGAATTTTTATACTTAAAGGACTGAAAGTCTCTTAAGAGATGAAGTGTTTAAAGTCCTCTGTTCTTCCTCCAAATGAAGTGAGAAACAGTTTCACTGCTGCCTTCGTTGGTGCACATTTTTCTAGACGGGTCAGAACTGCAGGCGCTGCAGATCAAAAAGTTTTGACTTTGTTTCAAAGTTGTTTTGGCAGGTTTAGACTTTTAGCCTCTAAACACCAAATTCCTACAGGAACCTTGAAGCTTGCGCCACAGAAGAAAACATAAAATGTTCTCTAATATTCCTTCCATAAAGTTGTTTCAATCAGGTTAGTGATTTTCTCACACATTTTCTGACAAAGTTCAGATGTTCCATCTTTAACCTCTCTGGAACGTGTTCTGTTACACAGATTTAAGTTAACGAATGAACAAGACAAACATGAAATATTTTGGGTTTATTCTGTTAATTAATTTCAAAATCGAAGTCCAAAATGACTTTTTTCCATCTAAGTTTTCATGTGTTCTGATTTATAAGCTGAGATAAGCTAAGATAAGCTAAGATAAGCTAAGATAAGCTGAGATAAGATAAGATAAGATAAGCTGAGATAAGATAAGATAAGCTAAGATAAGATAAGCTGAGATAAGATAAGATAAGCTGAGATAAGATAAGATAAGCTGAGATAAGGTAAGATAAGCTAAGATAAGATAAGCTAAGCTGAGATAAGATAAGATAAGACACTATAAGCTGAGCTAAGATAAGATAAGCTGAGATAAGATAAGATAAGATAAGATAAGATAAGCTGAGATAAGGTAAGATAAGCTAAGATAAGATAAGCTGAGATAAGCGAAGCTAAGATAAGATAAGATAAGCTGAGATAAGATAAGATAAGACACTATAAGCTGAGCTAAGATAAGATAAGATAAGATAAGATAAGATAAGATAAGCTGAGATAAGGTAAGATAAGATAAGCTGAGATAAGCGAAGCTAAGATAAGATAAGATAAGATAAGATAAGATAAGCTGAGATAAGATAAGATAAGACACTATAAGCTGAGCTAAGTTAAGATAAGATAAGCTGAGATAAGATAAGATAAGCTGAGCTAAGATAAGATAAGATAAGCTGAGATAAGATAAGATAAGATAAGATAAGCTGAGATAAGATAAGATAAGATAAGCTGAGCTAAGATAAGATAAGCTGAGATAAGATAAGATAAGATAAGCTGAGCTAAGATAAGATAAGATAAGCTGAGATAAGATAAGATAAGATAAGATAAGCTGAGATAAGATAAGCCAAGATAAGATAAGCTGAGATAAGATAAGATAAGCTGAGATAAGATAAGATAAGCTGAGCTAAGATAAGATAAGCTGAGCTAAGATAAGATAAGATAAG